TGAATGACACAAAGAATATTAGATGACATGCAAATGAAAGAAAATATGATGGAAACATTTGCCATGTGACTTATTCTTTACAATGGAAGAAAATTGATTCATTATTTCCAAATTTTCGCCTTGAGCCAAGAAACCTTAGGCTTGGGCTTCCCACATATGGAATGAACCTATTTAGTAATCTGAGCACTAACCATTCTTCGTGGCATGTTCTTCTCACAATTTACAACCTATCTTATTGGTTGTGCATGAAGCGCAAGTATATGATGTTAAGTATGATGATTTCTAGACCAAGACAACCTGGAAACGACATAGATGTTTATCTATGTCCATTAATTGAGGATTTAAAACTTTTGCAGAATAAAGGTGTTGACGTTGATGATGCATATTCTGGTGAAATGCTTAAGATGCCTGCAATATTATTTTGCACAATCAAGGACTTTCCTGCATATGGTAAATTGGCTAGATGTAGTTTCAAATGACATAAAGTGTGTTCTATATGTGAATCTGATACTTGTTTTCACCAGCTTGAGTTGGAAAAAAGACTGTTTACCTTGGGCATCAGGAATTTCTAAAACCTAATCATCCTTATCGTAGATTACATAAGGCTTTTAACAGAGAGCAGGAGTTTGAAAGTGCTCCTAAAACTTTAATTGGAGATGAATTTTATCAACAACAAGAAAGCCTTTATGTTATCTTTAGAAAGAAAAAAGACAGTCTCGTTGAGATAAGTATTTAAAAAAAGAGATTGGTGTTCTTTTATCTTCCATATCGGTCTAGACTTAATGTAAGACATTATCTTAATGTGATGCATATGGAGAAAAATGTGTGTGATATTTTGATAGGAACACTTTTAAACATTCTAGAAAAGACTAAATATAATAAGAATTCCTTTTTAGATATGGTAAAGATGGATATATGACAACAGTTGGCTCCACAAGATAGAGGAACAAGATCTTATTTGCCTCTAGCATGTCACACTATACCTAAAAAGGAAAAGAAAAGTTTTTGCGAGTGTTTGTATGATATCAAAATCTCTCAAGGTTACTCATAAAATATCAATAAACTTGTATTAATGAAAAATTTCAAGTTAGCTGGCTTAAAATCTCATGATTGTCATGTCTTGGTGCAATAACTTTTACCATTAGGTATCCCTGACATCCTTCCAAAAAAATGTAAGAGTAACTATAACCAGATTGTACTTATTCTTCAATGTTATATGTAATAAAGTTCTTACCTTCAAAAAATTAGATGAATTAGAAAATGAGGCTGCAATAATATTGTATCAATTGGAGATGTATTTCCTTCATCATTTTTTGACATTATGGTTCACTTACTTGTTCATCTAGTTAGAGAAATTAGATATTGTGGTCCAATTTAATTAAGGTGGATGTAACCTATAGAGCGATACATGAAAATATTTAAAGGATATACGAAGAATTATCACCGACCGGAAGCTTCGATCGTTGAAAGGTACATCACAGAAGAAGCTCTTGAGTTTTTTCAAACTATTTTTCGAAAACAGAGTCTATTGGAATTCTAAAGTCTCGTCATACTGACAGATTTGAAGATAGAGGTACTTAATATTTAAATGTTAAGTCAATGGGTCGGGATGTAGTACTTCAAGCAAATTTCTATATATTAAATAATTTTAGTGTAGTTAAACCTTACATAGCTGCTCAGAAAAAATGTTATAAAGAAAAAATATCCCTGAATGAATGGCAAGTTATTGTTGACACGACATAACAAGGAATTCATAAGTTAGTTTAATATGAGGACTTCTAATGATGATTGTGCATTCGAGACAATTAAATGGTTATCGTACATGCCAAAATTTACTATGATAACTTGAAAGACACATGACATTTCTAATTATTCCTTTTATACAAAAGAAAAATATGATCGTAGTACAATGAAAAATAGTGGGGTTATGGTTAAGGCCGAATTCATATATTTCTCTAGTTTGAAAGATAAGAATCATATTTTGGCAACCACCACATTCTATGGTTTCATTAAGGAGTTGGAGAATGATTATGTCACTTTCAAAGTGCCTTTATTTAAATGCAAGTGGCGTCCCAATAACAATGGTGTACAAACTGATGAGTTAGGATTCACACGGGTTGACCTTGGCAATGCAACTTATAACACTGAACTATTCATCATGGATACTCAAGCAAAACAAGTTTTTTATGTGACATACCCTGCAGACTTTTTGAGGAGATGGTCAATTATTCTCAAAGGAAAACACATTCCTCCTAGTGATGATGAAAGTTTTGATATTCTTTCCACTTCTTCTTATGCAACACAAGTGCCTAATTCATATGAAGAAGTTGATAGAGATGATGTACATGTTATTTGTAACGATCATCAAGAAGGCATATGAGAATATTAAAAAGTAAGTATTTTATATTCTTCATTCATAATTAATTATATGTTATAATTACTAATAATGTTATTTTCTAACTATTATTATTTGAAATTATAGGTTTTTAATGTCAAGACACCAAGACAACAAAATAGTATTATTTGTTGTAATGATGTGTACATTGTAGGTTGCTTTGTGGCATTTTGGTTTTGGTGTAATATACAATATTTGATTCCTAATGGAATTGTGTCATTGATGTAATACAATTTTTGATTTAATTAAATTAAAAAATGGTTGTATTGTTGTTTCTAGTGTGATATGATTCAAATATATTCAGGTTTAAAATTTGGAAATACTGTAAAATTGAAAAAAATCTATATAAAACAAATTATACCACAATGGTTTTAACTTAAAAATTGTAATAAGTAGAGTGCGCTATCTATAATAATAAAAGGCAAGATTGATGTTGTTGGGATTCGAACCCAGGACCTATAAATTATTTCACAATAGTTGTTTAAATAAACTGTTGTCATAAGTAGCACGCTACCTAACTTATAACCACTGTATGTCGCTCATTGTGGAAATCACCATACATACAACCACACGCTACCTAACAACAAATATGCAATAGTCATCCTATGTGTTTTGCAACCTTCATTATATGTGTTTTTTGTAGTAGTGTCGAGGGTTGAAGAATACTCATATTTGGTCTCATGTCATCTTAGGGTGCTTTACCCTCAAGGACAAATACAATTTTGTCTAATCATGATTCTAAGGTTGCTTGGCACAAATAGGTATGGAACTCAAGCTCTCCTCATTCCAAATATTTTCTTTCTTGGCACTGTATTCATAATAAGCTTCCAATCGATGAGAATATATTCTTGCGGGCCTGATATCTTCCATCTATTTGCAATTTGTGTCTCAAATATTGTGAGACCAAAAATCATCTTTTTTAATGTGATTATGCCAAACACATTTGGAGTTAGTTCTGCTAAGTTGTTTTCGAATTTCATACCATCAAATCTCTCGATGATTGCTGGTATATTTTGAATAAAGATTGGTCCAAATCTTGTAAAATGGTCTTATATGCTTTCATCATTCAAATTTTCAATGTAATTTGGTTTTCTCAAAACCAAGTTAGGTTCAAACACACTCTAATATCGTGGCATACTTTCAAGAACTTGATCATTGGTAACATTTCTCTTGCGATATTTGCTTGTCTTGCCAACATTAACATGCAAGAATTTGTGATTTTCAAAGACCTCTTATTGAACCTTCAACCCTTAGCTTCCTTGTATCAAGGACATCTTGTGGCATCCTCCTCCTCTTGGTTGGATCAACGATAGTTCAGATGGTATGACGAGTGAGACTCCTTTCCTTGCAGCTTGCGGGGGAATTTTTTAAAACTAAAAGAGTGACCATGTTAGCAGTTTTTCTAATTTCATTGGGGAAGGTGATGCAATGACTTATGATTTCATAGGTGCTATGGTGGTTGTAGAGCTCACTGTAAAAAAACCATTGGACTCATTTTTGGCTCAAATTTGACAGTTTGCTTGTTGTGCAAATATTTTCTAATGCTTCTCTTGTTCCTTCTAAGTTAAAAACTCGTTGGTAGGATTGTACAAATCTTACTCTCTCCATGCATTTCTTCGTGTCTCACATCTTCAGGGAAGAGAATGTTTGCGCGGACATGCCTTCTACCATAGAGTTCACTCATAAAAATCTTATTTGGTTTGATCATATACATGACGACATTAGATTATACTTTTTGAAAAATTGATAAGGAATTCCTTCCTGTAGATATCATAATTAGTAGGGATTTTGGCCTAATCACCACTCTTTTTGTGTATGTTCTCTCTTCTCTAATATATTTCTCGGCCCTTCGACTTAAAGAAAAGGTAACTTAAATTTCTTCAATTTTTTTTTTAAAGATGATTTTTATAAAATACAGTTCATTTACTGTATAATAATTATGCAAATGCTTGTAAATTTAAGTTTAACTAACAAACATCAATATTATTAGATTGAATACTATCACCAAGATTCAAATCATGAACTTTATGATTGTGTGTTTGTGAATTTTTATGATTACTATCCTTTTATTTAAATATAAAAAAGAATAATATACAAAACTGTGATATTTGTCTACTTACGTTTAGATTCTCACATTTTTATCGTTCAAACTTTGCAATTTCTCTAAATCTTGACAAAGTTAAAATGTACTATATAGGAATCTCTTAACATAATTATTATTTACCACTTCATCACTAGAAAAATAGATGTAACTGAAAAACAATAAATAAATAAATAAGAAAAAGTTAGTACTATTGTAAAAAGTTCAGTGTCCTAAATAGAGTATTTGACGAATTATTCTAGAAAGTTGTCAGAGTGAAAATTAATTTAAACTAGAGTATTTAAGGAATTTTTTTCTGAAAGTAGTTAGTGTGAGAATTAATTTGAAAAAAGTGTATATAAAAAATCTAAATATACTATATTTCCAAAATAAATAAATAAATAAATAATCAAACCTTAACAATAAATAGGTCTCAGTTCTCTTTTATTTCACTCTATCAACTTTTTCTCTTTCTCTTTCTCTCTTTCTTGCACTTTCTCTGAAGAAACAAGAGCTTCTAAAATAATGGGAAACGATTCAATAGCTCGTACAGCAGTTGGAATTCTAGGTTTGTGTTTCATTTTCATTACGATGGCTCTAATTTCTGGTTTTTTTTCTCTGTTATATTAATTTTTGCAATGAAAAATATATATTAAATTAAAATAATAACATGCATATTAATATATAGTTTTATACATTTTATTTATTGTGTTTTTTTGTGTGTGTAGGCAATGTGATCTCTTTCGGATTGTTTCTCTCTCCAGCGTAATTCCTTTCTCTGTTTATTTTGTTTTTCTTGTCATTTTCTTTGTTATAACATTTTGCACTCTTTGCGTTCTTTGATGATATTTATTATATTTTCATTTGAAACTTTTTAATTTTTTTAATAATCAGAGAAATAAAATTTTAATAATAATTTTTTAACTGTTTTATACTAGATTTAAGGTTCGTTTTTAAAATGATTTTTTTAATATTATATAATTTTATTAAAATGGTTTTTTTTTGAAATTTTAAATAAAAAATTGATGTAAATAGCTTTTTAAAAAATTAAATGTTTTATCATTTTGTTATAAAGTTTTTGAATATCTATATTTTATATAATTGTTAAAATTTGAATGTGTTTTGCATAATTTTTATAAATATATATTTGATATTTTATTTTGTTAAAATATTTAATAGAGAAATTAAAAGGGTAATACATAATTTTTGTGGAGGAATATATGATTTTTAAATATAAATTTTATATTTTTTTCTTAGCATTTTAATCCTTTTTATTCGTTTTCAATTAACTTTTTGATAAAATCATATAACGCAATTAGAGACTCGGAAGAAATTATATTTCATTCTAATCTATTTTCTGTAAGAGCTTTGTGTCGTGTCCTTTTGGAGACGAGTGATTTGTAGAAATTTTGATTTTGTCTTATATTTTTGTTCTAATCTATGTTTGATTGAGGTCAGGGCCAACCCGATCAATTCGGAGGTCATGTTCAAATTTAAAAAATAAGCATAAATTATAAAAAAAAAACTTTTAATAATTAAAATTAATACCCCAAAAATACAATTATATAGTAATAAAAAATAATCTAATTATAATCGGTTTGGCATTTTCTTGGATATTTTAATGGCAAAAGTATAGACCTCACATTATAAGTTTTTCACTATGTATCTATTTTGCTGTGCTTTAATTAGGAATTAGCAATAAACATGAACCAGCCACTCTCACATGTTAACACAATGAACATAACAAAATAGAGAGATAATATGGTTGTCAAAGATAACACAATAAGCAGAACTATCCTCACATTAAATATTTACTAGTAATTAGTAAGAGAAAATATAAGCTATAAATAAAACATCAAATTAAATTTTTTTTATTGCCGTAGACTTAAGGAACTCTCCTTCCACATTTAAATAACTTAATTATTCATAATTAATATTTATGGGGGGCTTGTTTGCTTGTAGTACAGGGACCATCATTAATTAATTTTTTTGTTTTTCCAAAATAAATATAAAAAATTATTTCAATAATCATGTAATGAATTATGAATGGATTAATAACTGCAGTCCAACTTTCTATGGAATCATAAAGAAGAAAGCTGTAGAAGAATTCAAACCAGATCCATACTTAGCTACAATAATGAACTGTGCATTTTGGGTATTTTATGGAATGCCTTTTGTGCACCCAGACAGCACTTTAGTCTATACAATCAATGGTATTGGAGTTGTCATTCAAATGATCTATCTCACCATATTTTACATCTATTCTACCACCAAAGGAAGGGTAAGCATGTCTTTTTATATAAATATTCAATTTTAGATTTTATATAATATTTTTTTATTAATAATTTCAGAAAAAACTAGTCCTTATATTTGCTATTGAGGCTATTTTCTTTGCCGCCATTGTTCTTATAACCATGTTAGCACTTCATGGCACTAGAAAAAGATCTTTAGTGGTTGGTGTTATAAGTGACGTCTTCAACGTAATGATGTATGTCTCTCCTTTAACCGTCATGGTAAGTCTCATTTAAATTATTTATTTTGTAAAACTTAATTTATCATTATATTATAGTAAGGGTTTTGCTAACCAGTGTCCTCAGGGTATTATTTAAATATTTTATATATTGAACAGACAAAAGTTATAAAAACTAAGAGTGTGAAGTATATGCCATTTTGGCTCTCTCTTGCTAACTTATTAAATGGTTTGGCTTGGACAACATATGCTCTTCTTCATCCATTTGATATTTATATATTGGTAAATAATTCATTAATTACTTATTTATCATTTCTGTTTGCTTTTAATAAAATATATTGAATATAATGTTTTTACAATTTTGTGCATTGTTTTTGTAGATATGTAACAGTATTGGAGTAGTTTCTGGAATTGTTCAGCTTATTCTATATGCTTGTTATTGTTTTAACAAAGGTGAAAACAATGAAGATGGTGATGTTGAGATGAAACCAACTAGTGTTCATGAAATCAGATTTAATGGAAGAACTACAGTAGCATGATGATGAATACTAATTGATTCACATCATAGTTTCCTTAATTTCTTATGTGTTGAATATGTAAAAATGAGTGTATGAAAAAATGAGTGTTAAAATATAATAGCTCATATTTTAATCTTCAATTCAATTGTATCACTTAACATTGTTTTTCGTTGAATCATTCCAAATCTCCGATTCACTTGAATCAATCACCAGAATAATCATTAAAGTAAACTTTTTTATTTATTGTTGTTGTTATGGCAATTATTTCTTTGAAAAATAAATTTGAGGAATCAAAGACATTTAAAAGTATCTTTGAATTTTTATATGATTCACAAAAGTTAAAGTTATTAGATGACAATTAGTTGAAAGAAATTTTCACTAAATTTTTTCTCATGGAAATTTATATTTTGAGTTAAGAATGTTACCATTTACTTTGTCAAATGAAACAATATCTGCTATTGATATTTTTTAATTTGTCAAACTTACAAATTTTTATTCAAATGTATTAATTGCTTATAGAATTTTATCGACGGTGCCCGTGGTTATATCGTCGGCAAAAAAAAAAATTTAAAATTGAAATAGATTAAAACCTACATGAGACCATCAATGTCACAAGAGAATTTTATTAAAATAATTTTGGGTAATGTTAACTTGTGCCTTAAGAGTATAAGTTAAGAAACACATTTATAGTAAGTTTGTATTGGAAACATCAATAAAATATTAAATTTTATATTTTTTATTAAAAACAGTGCACAATTTCCAAAATTTAATTTCTACTTTTAGTTCCTAACTGCACCTATCCGATTTGACCGATAGGTGCAGTTAATATGAGTTTCTTTTTGCCAATCCCCAAAATCTTCTAACCATTATGGATCTTGAAATAATAATATACGAATGATATTTTTCGTTATTATCAACGACGGTAATAGAATATATTTTCGAAATCTGGACATAAATAACAATACGAAATATCTAATTACTAAATCATATAGAATGCTCTCCCAAGCTTCTTCGACTCTTCGACGTGTCTCAACAGCCTCGTCTTGGGCGTCCTGTTCCACTCTCAATCTTTGCTCGTTCTCTTTTTTTTGCCTTTTTTAACCTCAAAAATGATACATTATCAGGATGGAGTTTCCTGAAATATAGGGTCAAATAGTCTCACATGTCCTCCAAAACATCAAACAAAAAGGAATTGATGTTGTTGATCATATCCAAAAAAAGGGGGGAATGGACGGACACAAGTTAGCATTACCCAATAATTTTTTATTTTTTAGTCAAATAGTTTAGTGGCTAAAATTTTATTTTTTAAAGGTGAATAAGTGAGATGTCGCGGGTTCGAATCTGCAACCTTACAGTTTAATGTTCAGCATATTTATCAATTGAGTTGGTTTAACGAGACAAATAATTAATATATTAAATATAATAAATGTATTACTATAAAGTTTTAATGACATGATAATGTGTTTACCACATGACCATTGTTGGTTATCTGGGCTAACTTGCCTCTTTTAACCTTGTTTCACATAAATCAACATATTAAATGGTTTGGGTTATCACATCCGTAATTATTAACGGATTCTGATACGTTGGATCAAGTCAGGCCCGCGTTAGTCCATGAGTAATCCACGCACCTTAACAAAATAAAAAAAAAATTATTTTTGTTTTAAAAAGTGATTAAAAATGTAATATAACTTTATCTAAAACAAAAAAAAATATTATTGATTATTTTAAATTAAAATTTATAAGAGTAACTCCTAACCACAAAAAATATAGAGAATACTTCAAAATAATTTTAATATATACTTCCTATCAACCATTTGTAGTGTTTATGTACTCGGTTGATACTTTTTTTTTACCAATAAGGTTTATCATCAACAAATTTATAATAGATAAAAGTGTAGTTAATCTTAAAAATAATTTAGAAGTGTAGTTTACCTATAAATTTTATAAGAGAAAGTCCACAATGCAATTATCTTGATCCTTGGATATAAGGTTCTAAGGCAGGTTTTAAAGGAAAAAACTGCAGCGCGTGCGTGGAGCAAACTCGAGGGATTGTATATGACCAAATTCTTGGTCAATCGTTTCTACCTGAAGCAAGCTTTGTATTCATTCAAGATGAGTGAAAACAAAATCTTGACTGAGCAGTTGTATATGTTCAACAAGTTAATTATTGATCTTGGAAATATTTAGGTAAGGAATGATGATGAAGATCAAGTGTTGCTCTTGTTGTGTGATTTACCAAGATTTCATCCTCACTTCAAAGAAACCCACTTGTAAGGAAGACATTCGTTGACCTTTGAAGATGTTCAATTAGCCTTGTACTCGAAGGATTTGACCAAAAGAAATGAACACAAGTCGTTGTCTGGTGGTGAAGGATTATTCGTAAAAGGAAAATTCTTGAAGAAAGATAGTAAGTTTGAGAATAAGAAGGGTAAAATTTTATAGAATTCTTATGGTGGTAATGCTCTTACTATTAGGTGTTATCAGTATAAGAAAGATGGTCATACAAGAAAGATGGGCCCTTAACGTCTGAATAATCATGGTGGAAAGGATAATGGTAATGCAACTATTGTCTAAGATGATTATGAATCATCTGATGTCCTGGTGGTTTCAAGCAGCGGCTCTAGCAAGGAGTGGATTATGGATTCAGGTTGTACTTGGCACATGACTCCAACAAAGACGTGTTTGAGGACTTGTGTGATCAAGATGGTAGATCAATGTTGTCGGGAAATAATAAAGCCTGCAAGATTGCAGGAATTTGATATGTCAGATTCAAACTACATGATGACTGAATAAGGTTATTGACTGATGTCGGGTATATACCTGATCTTAAGAGGAATATGATTTCTCTTGGTGAATTCAAGAATAAATAATATGTTTTCAAAGGAGAGCAAAATATCTTAAGGGTAATAAAGGGGTTGAAGGATGTCTTGATAGGAATAAAGGGGAAAGAACTTTATACCCTTGAGGTTGAGGTTGTAAGTGGTTGAGTAGATTTGATATCCATAAAACCTGTGTCGAAGACTGTGAAGGTGAGAAAAATACACAAGAAAGGGGAGTTGAATTGTGTTTTTCATTTATTTAGTTTACGTCTGATTAGAGTTCGGGATCTAAACTAGTGTTACGATTCTGATTATTCATTGCGGGTGATGTTAACATAAGTAAATAAATAATAACAGAACATACAGAGATTTATACTGGTTCCTCCAAAAGTAGTCTAGTACCCTTGTAGCACAATAGGTTTTCACAATAATCAAAACATGATTACAATCACTTATGCACTTAAGCATAATACTCTTCTTTTCATAGACCCTTACCCCGAAACTTCCTGCTTAAATCCCTCAGGTCCAAGACTTCTGCTTAGGTTTCACGAACCCAAGACTTCCCTACTTAAGTCCCTCAAAATCAAGACTTTTACTTATGCCCTCAGTCCAAGACTTCCCTGCTCATGTTCCACGAATCCAAGACTTCTGCTCAACCCCCTCAGGCCCAAGAATTCTTTGCTCAAGTTCTACGAACTTAAGACTTCCTTGCTCAGGTTCCACGAACCCAAGACTTCTGCTTAAGGCCCCCAGGCCCAAGACTTCCTTGCTCAGACTCACAGTCCAAGACTTCATTGCTTAAATCCCACAAATTCAAAACTTCTGCTCAATCAATAAATGATCAAGATTTTTAATGCTCGAGCACATAGCATGAAACTTACTTGGCTCAAGCTTCTCAGTAAGAGACTTTTCTTCTCAAGAACATAGCAAGAGACTTTATCTAAACTGCTAAACAACATGTTCAACAAAATAGGGAACAGGGCGTACTTGATACAATTATTAGAGGTACAAGGTAATCACCTTAACAAAGATTTCTAAGCACTTAGGATTTCTAAGATATTCCATGTTTAAGAAATTTTAAGGCTTATTACAATTTACAACATATAACAGAAAATATGTATACTCAATTGTGTTGCTCATTGTATGATCTTATTATTCCTCCATCTAGACAGAAGTTTTGAACACTTCTATCCTTCTTGGCTTTCCTTCTATATTTTCCATTTTGATTGCTCCTTATTCAAAGAGTGCAATTTGAATATTCAGTAGCTTATATAGTAGTTGTAGAAGAATAGTTGTTAAAACAGATAACTTGAACAAGTATCTTTGTTTTTCCATAGTACAAGAGACATTGAAGAGAGATACACCAAAAGGTCATGATCCATTGTGTAATATTTTTCACCACTGTGTCTTCCATGTAATCTTGTACTATAGAGCTGTTGTGAGTAGATATCCATAAAGCATGTAACTCTTCTTGAGCCTTGTGAACTTAGACTCTAGCTGACAAACTGATTTGACAATACAGCTTACTTTCAGCAATACAGATAACATCAGCTTTAGCATTAGTTCTGAATAATCACCAAAAGCTAATTACATTCACCCAGTGTAGAGACAATATGTTGCTTCTTCTGATGTTGAGGCCTTCAACTTCAGAGTCTACGCTAGACATCACTTAGAGAGTGTTCTTCAGATTCTGCACCACCAGAAGCTAGTAATTCATCTTCTCTCAAGTGCATCCTTATATATCATATTCTGAATATATATCTTTAAGTATTAGAACCCGCATACTTGGAAAGCATATTAGATAGCACCATTGTTCTTTTAGTACTTTGTTATCATCAAAACCCAGGGAATATATGTCATGAACAAATTTTGTTCTAATAGACTGAGCTATGTCACACGTGACTTGGCCATGTCAGTGAAAGAGGCCTGGTTGAATTATCAAAACAAAATTTTCTATGTGGTGACAAGGTTGAGAAACTAGAGTTTTGTGAACCTTGCGTATTTGGTAAATTCTATAGGGTGAAGTTTAACAAAAGTAAACAAAGAACACATGGATCCCTTAATTATATCTTTGCTAAACTTTGGGGGTCTAGAAGAAACCCTTCACACTCATGTGTAAGATGTTTTCTATCCATATTTAATGATTACTCACAAAAGTTGTGGGTATTCATTCAAAAAGCTAAGGATGAAACTTTTGAA